CGGTCACTGACGGGGGGGAGTGGGGGGGGTTTACGGTCACTGACGGGGGGAGTGGGAGGTCACGGGGGATGTGATTTGCGGAGAGCGTTGGGATGAAGGCGGGGGTGGGGGTGCCCATCTCCATGGTAACAGGTTCAAACGCGGGCCGACCGTTAAAACCGGTAAAACGGCGGCGATCGCGCGCCCGCAGCTCGTGCGAGTCCTGTCCGTCAGGAGAAGCCCGACTTGAACCGGTGACTGTATTTTTTGCGACTTTCGGGGCTTACCCTGTGGTTCCGGGGGTGATGGGGCGGATTTTACAGCGAGGCAGGCTCTGTCTGCCAAGGGTAGAGGGGAGACAGTGAGGCTCGGGGCCGGTTTACCGCCTTCACCGTGAGAGGCCGAAGGGCCAGCGCCGGGGCCAGGCTGGTCGCCGTTCGGTGACGTCATCACCCTGCGCCCAGCTCCACGTGGAGCACTCCCGCTCCTTGCAGAGCTGCTGAAAAGGGAGTCTCTCATTCACAGTTCTGAAGAGTCTCGGAATGTTAATTATGTTCCTCTATCCGTGATGCTGCCAGATCTACTCAATTTTTCCAGAAATTTCATAAAATCGCTGCAGTGTGGAGACAGGCTCTTTGGCCCAACAAGTCCACATCGACCCTCAGAGCATCCCACCCAGATCCATTCCCCTGTAACTCACCTAACCTACACATCCCTAAACATCACGGACAATTTTGCATTGGCCAATCCACATAACCTGCACATCTCTGGACTGTGGGAGGACACCGGACTTCGGAGGAAACCCACGCAGACACGGGGAGAATTTCTGCTTTTGTTTCAGTCTTCCAGCATCCGCAGTTTTTTGTTTTATATCTCATTCATAATGGGACATTGTGTTTCCCAGCAAGCTTAATTTGTGGGCAAGCTGACTTTCGTTTAAAGCACCCCTCAGGAGCGATGTTCAATTGCATATATGATGTAGAGGTGTTGGACTCGGGTGGACAAAGTCAGAAGTCACACGACGCCTGTTATAGTCCAACAGGTTTATTTGAAATCGCAAGCTTTATAAGCGCTGCTCATTCGTCAGGTGGAGTCCTGGTGTAGTGTCAACACAGTGTGGAGCTGGAGGAACACAGCAGGTCAGGCAGCATCAGAGGAGCAGGAAAGTCGACGTTTCGGGTTTACATGCTTCATCAGGACTGTCCTGCTGTGATCCTCCAGTTCCGCACTGTTTTGACTCTGATTCCAGCATCTGTAGCTCTTGCTATCTCCTGGTGTAGTGTGACTTCTAACAATTACATATAATAAAATGTGGATGCTGGAAATGTGGAACAAAAACAGAAAGTAGTTGAGAAATTCAGCACCCGTGGAGACAGAAACAGAGTTAACATTTTGAGTCCAATGAAGTTTCTCGGATACGTATTTTGGAATCCGAGGACACTTTCTATACATTTCAACATAAGTAGAAAAGTGAAAGTAAGAGACCCAACGAGGAAGCCAGTAAAATATTACTTTAACAGACTCAAACAGCAAACTCAAAACTGTTCAAGGACGCTTTACCGTTAAAAATTAAAGAAACTTCAGGAAGTATGATTAGTGTTCTGTTCATTACTATGCTGGTAAAAATGTGCAGGATGAAATTAAATATATTTCTTTGTTAATAATACTTCTGAGTTATATGTCATGTCCTTGAAGTTTTCAACATGCGGGAAGATAATATTGAAATTGCATTATATCCACTCTAAAGAGGACTGTGGTATTTTCTGTTAAGTAACTTGGCTTATCTGAACAACACTAAAGCCAAATGACACCATATGTAAACATAGAAACTTGGAGCAGGAGTAGGTCATTTGGCCCTTTGGGCCAGCTCCACCATCCAGTCTGATCATAGCATTATCCCTGCTTCTCCCCTCATCCCTCGATGCCTTTAAAATCTAGAAAAATATCTGTCTCTTGAATATATTCAGTGACTTGGCCTCCACAGTAGAGAATTCCACAAGTTCACTACCCTAAATGGTCCAGTCTGTATGCTGAAGCTTTGAACCCTGTTCTGGATTCCCCAATCGGGGAAAACATCCATTACTTTAGACTTGTGTCCCCAGGCCTCGATTTATTCACATGTGGGACCAGATTCCCTCTATCTTCTGTGTTCAAACCCCTCATGACTTTAAATAATAAAATTGATACACAAAGTGGAAATGAATCTAGTCATTGCACTATCTTACATATGAAAATGAATATCGAAAAAATATGCAGTTCTTGGGGTTAGCGAGGAACTGCGGATGCTGGAGATCTGGAAAAGAAAACAGAATTGCTCAGCACCCTTTTTGGTCAGAACCCGTCGGTGAACCCCAGATGATGCCAGACCTACTGAGTTTCTCCAGCCTTTGTTTAAGCTCTTAGCGTATGGGTACCATGGCCTGTGAGGATGGTACGATCAGACCGCAGTGCCTTTGGGTGCTGACTTTGATAGGTCTTCACCTGAGTCGGAGGTGGAAACGGGGCGAGATTTCAACATTGATTGTTACAAAGGGAACACATTTCCACGGCAACGGCAGGAGCACCTCTGTGATGGCACAATGGCATGCGTTGGATAAAGACGAGGAAGATGTGAGCTAAGGGAGAGGCCAGAGCCGAGCCGAGCCGACTGCACTAGGCTGCCTGCTGCTCTGATGACCACCAATACAAAAACTAAGAGAATGTGTGAGAAGAGATGGAGGGTGGCTTGCGAGCGGAAACTCCCCAGCTTAATACTGCTATTGATCTTCTTCACCATCTCAATCTTATTCTACATGTACCCGTAAGTATGTTCATCAAAGAGTAGGTCTCAAGCGCTTTCTTCACACAAGGTTCCTTTTAAATACATTTGCAGCACTGGACAACATAGCTCAGAATCTCAATGTTGGGGGATGGGGGTCTGGTTCAACTTGCATTTCAGAGACTTCAGACATATAAATCGAGGCTGATAGTCGAGTACACTACTGAGGGAGTGCTGCACTGTCATTTAGATGAGATGTTAAAACTTTGTCCTCCCAGGAGCAGGATGGGGTCACCAGGATGTGTTGGCCAATATTGCAATTGCAAGCAATGTCTGTACAAGTTAGCTGCTGCATTTCCTTCATTGCAACAGTGATTAATTGATAGCAAAGCACTTCAGGATGTCCTGTGACTAAACTGAGATGTGAGTTCAGCTCAGTTACGTGGAAAATTATGGAAAAAGTTAAAAGCAGGGGAGGTTATTAGAGTTTCCAGAACAAGTAATAGGATAGAGACTATGGAAAGGGTCAGGAATCTAACTTCAGACACTGCAGGCAAGGGGACAGCTATGGGAAGGGGACAGTCAATGCAGGACTGAGGATATTGTACTTAAATGCACGCGATATATGAAACAAAGAAATGAGCTTGTAGCGCAGATTGAAATGGGCAGGTACGATGTTGTGGGTACCACAGAGATGTGGCTGCAAGGGGATCGGGACTGGGAACTAAATATCCAAGAATACACGTCCTATCAAAAGGACAGGCACATAGGCAGAGAGGGCAGGGTTGCCTTGTTAGTAAGAAATAAAATTAAATCTATACCAAGAAGTGATATAGGGTCAAAAAGCATAGAATCTGTGTGGGTAGAGTTGAGGAGCCACAAAGGATAAAAGACGTTGATAGGAGTTATATGCAGGCCTCCTAGCATTATTCAGGACATGGGATAAAAATAAATCAGGAGATAGAAAAGGTGTGTAAAAACAGCATTATTACAATAATCATGGGGTCTTCAATATGCAGATAGACTGGGAAAATCAAGTCAAGTCTCCCTTCAGAGAAATTGCCCCATGAAAAGTTTACATTTGCTCTTTCTGTCGAATTTGCAGTCATTTCAAACTGTTGTTATTCAAGGACCTGTTGCTCTAATTTTGGCAGATCTCTATAAATATGTAAATTGTAAAAGAGTGGTGAAGGTAAACATTGGTCCTTTAGAGGATGAGAAGGCCAATTTAATAACTGGGAATGAGGAAATAGCCGAGACATTGAACAGTTATTTCGTGTTGGTCTTCACAGTGGAAGACACAAATAACATGCCAAAAACTAATGGTAAGAAGGTTATAGCAGGTGAGGACCTAGAAACTATCATTATCACTAAGGAGGCAGTGCTGGGCAAGCTAATGGGGCTAAAGGTAGACAAGTCTCCTGGCCCTGATGAAATGCATCCCAGGGTACTAAAAGAAGTGATGGGGGAAATAGCAAATGCACTAGTAATTATTTACCAAAATTCACTGGACTCTGGGGTGGTTCCCGCAGATTGGAAAACAGCCAATGTGATGCCACTGTTTAAAAAAGGAAATAGACAAAAAGCAGGTAACTAGATGCCAGTTAGCTTAACTTCGGTAGTGGGGAAAATGTTTGAATCTATCATTAAGGAAGAAATAGCAAGACATCTGGATATAAATTGTCCCATTGGGAACACCCAGCATGGGTTCATGAAGGGTAGGTCATGTTTAACGAATTTGGTGGAATTCTTTGAGGACATTACTTGCATGGTGGACAATGGGGAACCTGTGGATGTGATGTATCTAGATTTCCAGAAGGCATTTGACAAAGTGCCACACCAAAGGCTGCTACATAAGATAAAGTTGCACGGTATTACAGGTAATGTATTGGCATGGATAGAGGATTGGTTGACCAGTAGAAAGCAAAGAGTAGGGGTAAATGGATGTTTTTCTGGTTGGCGGTCAGTGGCTAGTGGTGTGCCTCAGGGATCAGTGTTGGGACCGCAATTGTTTACAATTTACATAGAAGATTTGGAGTTGGGGACTAAGTGCGGTGTGTCAAAATTTGCAGATGACACTAAGGTGAGTGGTAGAGCAAAGTGTGCAGAAGACACTGAAAGTCTGCAGAGGGATATAGGTAGTCTAAGTGAGTGGACAAAGGTCTGGCAGATGGAGTACAATGTTGAAAAGTGTGAGGTCATCCATTTTGGTAGGAATAACAGCAAAATGGACTATGTTTTAAATGGTAAAAAATTGCAGCACGCTGCTGTGCAGAGGGACTTGGGTGTCCTTGTGCATGAATCTCTGAAGGTGGGATTGCAGGTGCAGCAGGTAATTAAAAAGGCAAATGGAATTTTGTCTGTCATTGCTCGAGGGATGGAGTTTAAAAACAGGGAGGCTATGCTGCAGCTGTATAGGGTCCTGGTGAGGCCACACCTGGAGTACTGTGTGCAGTTTTGGTCTCCTTGAGAAAAGATATACTAGCACTGGAGGGGGTGCAGAGGAGATTCACTTGGTTGATTCCAGAGTTGAGAGGGTTGGATTATGAGGAGAGACTGAGTAGACTGGGATTATACTCATTGGAATTCAGAAGAATGAGGGGAGATCTTATAGAAACATATAAGATTATGAAGGGAATAGATAAAGTGGAGGCATGGAGGTTGTTTCCGCTAGCAGGTGAA